ATAAAGAACAATTTTCCCTGGCTGGTGTGGCTCAGTGGATTGAATGCCAGCCTGTGAACCGAAGGGTCACCGGTTTGATTTCCAGTCTAGGCCACGTGCTTGGGTTGTAGCCTGATCCCCAGTAGGAAGTATACGAGAGGCAACCACACATTGAGGTTTCTTTCCCTCTCATTCTCCCTTCTTTTCCCTTTCTAAAAATAAATAAATAAAACCTTTAAAAACAAATTTAGAGGGAAACAATAGTGGAGTGGTTGAAGCCGAGCATCAGATCAATGATTTGGAACATAAGGAAGCAAAAAATGGCCAATCAGAACAACAAGAAAAAAGAATTTTAAAAAACGAGGATAGTATAAGTAGCATCAGGAACAACTTCCAAAGGTCCAACATTTTCATCACAGGGGAGCCAGAAGGAGAAGAGAAAGAGCAAGAGATTGGAAATCGATTTGAAAAAAATAATGAAAGAAAGCACCTCTAATTTGGTGAAGGAAATAAACATGCAAGTCCAGGAAGCACAGAGAACCCCAAACAAGATGGATGCAAAGAGGCCCACTCCAAGATACATCATAATTAGAATGCCAAAGTTTAAAGATAAAGAAAGAATCTTAAAAGCAGCAAGATAAAAGAAGTTTGTTACCTACAGGAGAGTTCCCATAAGACTCAGCTGACTTCTCAAAAGAAACTTTGCAGGCTAGAAGGGATTGACAAGAAATATTCAGTCATGAAAAGCAGGGACCTACAGCCAAGATTGTTCTACCTAACAAAGCTATCATTTAGAATTGAAGGGCAGATAAATTGATGTGGACTTTGACCCTCAGGGTCCATGTGTTGTGGCTGCTACGAACAAATTCATATGGACCACAGAAGTTCTGTGGAGAAAAAGGGATGGCTTGGCTACTCTCTGAGTGAGAGAGAGGGCCCCAACCCCTGTCTGTACAAGCTTTTATTGCTTTCCTGGATACATCACATTGAGGCCCATATATTAGTACATGGTCCTCATTTACTATGCACAGGTTTGCTTTAGGTGGTTACCTTCTACAGATAACAAAAGAAAAAATGTTGCTAATTCAAAGAAAAAGGGAATTTGCAAATGCAAGGGGAAAGGTGGTTGAACTGGTTACACTCCATACTTGGGAGGTTTAGCACAGATTTTAGGAAGTTACTTCAAAGATATGCAGTAAACATTTACTGCTTCAATTCAGGTTGAGGGAGTTTTAGCCATAAGCAAGCCTCAAAGCAGCCTAGGTACAGTGCAGGCCTGATTCTCCGTGGGGAAGCCGGTCTGTGGGCTTGGTTCCTGTGTGCCCACTCGCTCCCCACTTATTTTCCAAATCAGGCTGGGCTACATTCACCATGCCACGTAGATAGGTTCCCTATGATATAGAGCTGCCCAGACAAGAAAAAAACCAAAGGAGTTCATCATCACCAAACCATTATTATATGAAATGTTAAAGGTATTTATTTAAGAAAAAGAAGGTAAAAAAATATAATCAATAAAATGGCAACAAATACTTATCTATCAACAATTGAATCCAGAAGACAAACTAAGCAAACAAGAACAGAGACAGAATCATGGATATGGAGAGTGTTTTGATGGCTGCCAGATAGGAGAGGTATGAGTGAATGAGTGAATGGGTGGAGAGGTAAGGGAATTGAGAAGTACCCATAGGTAGTTACAGAATAGCCATGGGGATGTAAAGTACAGTACGGGAAATGGAGAAGCCAAAGAACTTACACTTATGACCCATGGACATGAACAGTGGTGGGGGGATTGCCTGAGCTAGTGGTGAGGGAGGGGGACAAAGGGAGAAAATCAAGACAACTGTAATAGCAAAACTAATAAAATATAATTTAAAAATATACCCACAAACTTTTTATTACATCTAAGATAATTAACCATAATTCCTTAATCAGATATTCAATCTGTGTTTAAATTTCTCCATACATCTTCCAATAAGATCCATAGGTTATATTTGGCTGCTGTATCTCTTAAGTCTCTTTCAACCTATAGGATCTTTCTCAGTATGTCTCTCCTTTTTTTTTCCTTTGAAGTTTACCTTGAGGAAGAAAATTTCTATAGATTTTTTTCATAATCTGGAGCTTGCTGATTGCATCCCATGGTGTTTGTATCAAAGTTCCTCTGTCCTGTGTTTTTCCTCTAAATTCTAATTAGTGCCAGAGCAGTAATTCTCAAAGAGAGGTTCCAGGATAAAAAACATCAGCATCAACCTGGGAAATTTGATAGAAATACAAATTCTTGCTTGGGTTCATTATAGGACTGTTGAATCAGAGACTCAAGATGGTTTTCTGCAATTTGTTTCTTAAAACAGTTCTTCAGGTGATTCTGATAGACCCTAAAGTTTGAGAACCATTGCTATACATACAGCCTTAGTCAAATTCAGGTTTGTATCCCCTTCTTCCCCCCACCAACTATTTTGTAGTTGTTGATGTGTTTCCCTTAGAAGGCATGTGCAGCTGGCCCGTCTCATTTATGAGGCTGATGATCATGTCAGTACTGCCTAGACTATGGGTCATTATTATGCATAAAATGGAATACTTCTGTAAAAAAAATTTCACTCATTAACTCTTAGGTTACCTTTAGTATAGTTTGTTCAGGAAAAGCAGGGTAAATGCTTGAGTCTTTTCCTTTAATTAACCTAGATTCAAAATAATAAGTTGGTTCTCTACCATGCTCCGAAGGTGACCAATGAAGTCTGAAAAAATATCAGTATAAACTTGAGGATCTAACTTTATCTGATTTTTTAAAAAAAGATTTTATTTATTTATTTTTAGAGAGAGGGGAAGGGAGGGAGAAAGAGAAGGAGAGAAATATCAGTGTGTGGTTGCCTCTCGTGCACCCAATACTGGGGACCTGGCCTGCAACCCAGGCATGTACCCTGACTGGGAATTGAACTGGTGACCCTTTGGTTCACAGCCCACATTTGATCTACTGAGCTACACCAGCCAGGGCTCTGATGTTTTCATCTATTGCCATTTTGCTCTTATTTGATGCTCATGTTATCTCATCTGTATAGTGGGAACCTCTTCATGTTTCCTAACATGTAACCTAACTCCCTTGAGACGTGACCTGTGGGGTTTGTTTGTTTGTTTTGTGCATTCTTGATTTCTGGTAGATTTTTCAGTACTGACTGTTATATCTTTAGTTCCAGAGTAGTTACTGGGGATTAATAATTTCTTCAAGGAGCCCTATTTCCCTTTAGGCTAAAATAGTAGGGATCACGATCTAGATGGTAGGGATGCTCATTGGTATGGAGGTTAGTCATATTTTTCATTTAAGTTCAAGACTATAATATTTTTACTCAACTTAATGTCTATCCCTTCTCTAATGCCAGAAAATCTCAGTATTTAACAATAAAATTACTCTCTTGTCCCGACCAGCGTGGCTCAGTTGGTTGAGAGTCATCCTGCAAAGCGAAAGGTTGCCAGTTTGATTCTCAGTCCCGGCACATGTCTGGGTTGGAGGATGCCCCTGGTTGGGGAGGGCGTGAGAGGCAACGGATCAATTTTCCTCGCACATCAATATTTCTCTCCCTCTCTTTCTCCCTTCCTTCCCCTCTCTCTAAAAATAAATAAATTTTTTAAAAAGTTGCTCTCTTTCTTCATCTCATAGCACACACAAACAGTCTCAGAGTCTAAGACTAACAGTATGATTTCTGAAAACTAAGATTATCTTGAGCTCTTGTTATCTTTAGGATATACCCCACTAAGATGTCCAGTCAAGTCACTTGAAATAGTTCTTTGTGTGCTTTTGCTCCCAATTTAATATATTGAATACAGTTAATTTTGCTTTATATTTGAGGGATTGCTTTTTCAAATTTAGTTGTACAATTTTGTAAAATATTGATATGGTTCCAAAGTCAAATGTATGACAAAAGGTATATTCAGAGAAGTCTGACTTCTACCATTGTAGCTGTCTTCCCTTTGCTAGTTTTCGGTTTATTTTGCTCTTTTTTCTACTTCCTTAAGTTGTACAATTAGGTTATTAATTTGAGATCTTTCTTAATGTAGGCATTTACAGCTGTAAATTCCCTCTTAGCACTGCTTTCAGAGCATTCCATACATTTTGGCATATTGTGATTTTATTTTAATTTGTCTCAAGTTATTTTCTAATTGCCCTTCTGATTTACACCTGTACATTTAAATTAATACCATTGTGGTTGATTGTTGGTAGTGATGTTTTAAAATGATTTTGTCAGCACATTTAGATATTGTATAGCAAGAGAATATACCTTGCATTATAGTTCTTAAATGTGTGACAATGTTTTTTTCCCTAGAATTTCAAGTTGTTGTTGTTGATTTCACGTCTCCCTGGTTGTTTTGGTTATGTCTCATTCTTCTTTATGCATTTGACTCCTCTTGTGTCTTTAATTGTTATAAACATACTGCTCTTATTTTGTAATAGTTCTATAATCTTGATATCTAACTCTTTGTGAGGTATCCTCTGATATCACTCTTGCTCAATTGTGTCAGTATGTGTTTTATAATTTTAGGTTGTATACTACTGTTTAGTGGGCTTTAATTATGGAAATCCATGAGACCTGCCTGCATCGAGTGCTTAAACTGGTGTACATTTCGTATCTCTACCAGAGTGACAGGCATTGTTTTTTTTTTAAGATTTTATTTATTTATCTTTAGAGGAGAAAGGAAGGAGAGGGGGAGAGAAATATCAATGTATGGTTGCTTGTCATGCATTCCCTGCTGGGAACTGGCCTGCATCCTAGGCATGTGCCCTGACTGTGAGTCGAACAGTGGTCCTTTGGTTCACAGGTCCACACTCAATCCACTGAGCTACACCAGCCAGGGCGGCATTGGAATTTCAAATGATCAAAGGAACCTCTCCCATACCCATCAAGTTAGAATGACCCATCATTTGGTATCAAGGTGCTTAGTTCCATTGCCAAAGATCTTTGCAAAAAGGGAGGGTAAAAATGGGGTCATATGACATTATGATGACTAAATATTATTTCTTCTGTCTTTTGCAGTTCCAGTTCCTAGTAGATACGACCGGAGAGTATCAGGTATGTGTTCTCTTTCAAAACATACTGCTAAAATGCTATTTTAAGATAGGATTATCTTAAATAGAAACAAACTGACCTTTTTAATAAAAAGTTAGCATTCAGATTATTAAAATTAACTGATTCCTTCATTCTGTTTCATTTTAAGTTCTGAGTATATATGTATATAGTTTTGTGTTGCCTTAGTTAATTACTATGTCATTAGTATGTTTCCATGTTTATAATCATGGCTTAAAAAAACAGCACTTAATATTACTATTTCTGGTTTTTTAGATTATGCTGCCATTAACTTCTTGCATACATTTTTGAGCCACTTAAATTACTTCCTCAGTTACGGTGTTGGGAGTGATATTCCCCCCATGAGTGAGTAAGCACCGCGTCGGCTCTTTGGCGTGTTACTTTCTGGAGACAGTCTATGGAATAGGCTGCAGGGAGGAAAGTCTCCTGCAGAGGCCTCTTCAAACGCCGTCTCCCTGCCATGTATGGTGCCTGCTCCCTTAAAGATTTTATATATTTACGGACTACTTTAGTTTAAATGTAAAATAGTACCTCAGATTGTCTTTATTTGGCATTCCATTGATAATTAATAAAAATAAGTGTTTCCAAACATGGAAAGTCTTCTTTTATTTTTTTGCATGGAACTAGTTTAGTAATATTTGACCCTTTTAACTCTTATAGTCTAGATTATCTTTTGTAAGTTTGAGTAAATTTCTGTCATGACTTTTAACCATTGAAATTTTAATGTAAAGTTTTTCATATTGGTGGTGCTATTTATTTTAATTTTGCTATTTTTTATTTACTAAAAATTTCCATTATGTAACTAGTACTTTATACACTACTTGGCACATATCAGGCACTCGGCAAATATTTATTGAATATGTACATCCTTTCCTTTTTGTTCAAGATTACCCCTAAGCTTCAGAGGTCCTCCTTTTTTATAGAGCTGATGAGTATATTTTCTAAAAGCTTTTCATGTAATTAGAATGTTTGACTTTTGGATACATCCAGAGTTTGTTTATTAAAAAAAGACTTTTATTAGCAAGTTGTAATAACGTCTGGAGTTAATTTGGTTCTGTATAGTTGGGGTGTTGTGTGTTTCAGGATTGCTGTGCAAGCTGTATGTGTCAAATTCTTTCATTTCGCCTTGTTCTGAGAACGTTTCTTACCCCTAATTTACTTTTTGTCCCTCAATCCTTTTCTTTAGGAAAATCTTATCATTCAGAAAGCCTTTTACCTAGACTGACCAGTTAACATTTTGCCACGTTTACTCTTTCTGTCATTTGCATATGTAACGTTGTACACCAAAGTCTGTTGAAAGGAGATTGAAGGATGTGTTCTTATGTATAGACTGTTATTCACAGAGAGGAAGTAGAGACTAAGGTTGGCGCAAAGACTGGTGGGTGATCATCTCCCGTTGGTCACTGTTCGTCCCTGCCTGCCTTCCCTGCCCGGTAGAAGACTAGTCGTATTCCTTGACATCTGCAGGACTGATCTGGGTAGTGGGGACTGTAGTGACGTCTCCAGAGGCACAGTGGGGCGTAGTTCGTGAATACTGCTTGGGCTGTTAGTGATTCAGTCCTTCAACTGTTGAAAACTCAGACAAGTACATGTTATTTGTCCCCTTTAAATTGTACAGTCTGTTTCTCTTTGTAGTCAGTTGTAGAATCCCTCTATCTGTATCCATTTAATTTTGATTTTTAAATATGTAAAATATTTTATATGACTTAAATGTTAAAACTGTATGAATTTTCTCAGAGAAATTTTAGTCCTTTCCCTATACCTTCTTCTTTTTGTTTCTGCCTACCCTTTGTTTCTGAGTAATTTTATTATTCAGAGAGTAATAAAATGGTTTATCCCTTTTTTTTCTTTTGGAAAAATAAACAGGTAAAAAATTGTATATACATGGAAATGTTTATGTTAATTCCATCCCTCCCCCATTTTTAGCTCTCCTACTTTCCCACGGAAGCCCTTTCTTATTGAAGAGATGGCATATCATGTGCTTTGCACCTTGCTTTTTTTCTCAGACCTCACTATCTGTTAGCCTGCGGAAATCTTCCTCATTTTTCTCAGCTGTATTATTCAAATGGATACTTAATATCATTTATAATATGTTTCCTGTCATAAACAATTGCTCATTGAATTCTTTAAAATTTCTAAATTGTGACAAAAGACAAATCCTGCAGGAAACTGGCATAAACACAGGTTACCTACAAAGGAAATCCAGACGGTTTTAGATTTATGTAATGTACCTAGAACAGAGCATGACACGAAGTATTTATTTTGTCAGAAGTTCATTCTTACTTTTAAGTCATTCATGTACGTGATGATGGTGAGTTATTTTAATTGGTTCTGTTCATAATTACTCCACATCCATGTGAATATGTTGCATATACTGTCCTTTGTGGTTCTCCACCCCCGCTTCGTGACTCAGCAGAGACAGCACCTCCCTGCTTGTCCTTGGCGCTCGAGTGGGAGTTAGTAGATGACATACATGGTGGGTCAAAAGTGTGTTTACACCCCTTGGCTGCTGTGGCTCTGTGGCTTGATCACCAGACTTTGAACCAGGGATTCACCAGTTTGATTCCCAGGCAGGAAAGTGTCCCGCAAGGGCCAGGTCCCCACTTGGGAGTGTGTGACGGACAGTCTCTCACACACTGATGTCTCTCTCTCTTTCTCCCTCCCTTCTCCTCTCTCTAAAAAATAAAAATAAATAAAAATCTGTTTAAAATATGTATATTTACAGTTGTAAGTATGCAAAACATAGTTTATTCTTATATTATTATTGATTGATTATTGTATTATTTTCCATATGAATAACTGTAAACCACTTTTGACCCATCCTATATTTTATCATCTCTCTCCTATTCAAAGCTACAAATCCCTAGAGACCTGGCTTTTCAGCACCTAACAGAATGCCTGGCATTAGTAGGTATTTAATATATTTGTTAATTGAAAGAACAGATTTAAAAAATCACTACAGCTTTAACAAAGAGTGAATAAAAGGAAATTGTGTTCACTTCCTGTTTTCCTAGTAAAAGCACACATTTGTTTTATTCATTTTTCTCTCTATTTTTTCTCTCCAAATTTAGTATGTGCTGAGGCTTATAACCCTGATGAGGAAGAGGAAGATACTGATCCAAGGGTAAGAACTACAGCAAAGGGTATTAGGTAGAATTGTTTTATAACCCACTTACTCCCCTATTCCTCTACATACCAGATCAAATCATGCTGATAATTAAATACAAATTAAAATCTCAAGAAGATGCCATTTCTTTATCTAGCTGATTGACAAATGTTAAGAAGAATTATATACCTGAAACTAATACAAAATAATATTGAATGTAAACTGAAGTTGAAAAATAAGCCCTGGCTGGTGCGGCTCAGTGGACTGAATGCTGGCCTGTGAACAAGAGGGTCGCTGGTTCAGTTCCCACTCCAGGCATATGCCTGGGTTGAGGGCCAGGTCCCCAGTGGGGGAAGGGGCATGCAAGAGGCAACCAGTCAGTATTTCTCATCAATGGTTCTCTCCCTCTATTCTCCATCCCTCCCCTAAAAATAAATAAATGAAATCTTTACAGAAATAAAAATAGCCCTGACTGGGGTAGCTCAGTGGATTGAGTTCAGGCTGTGAACCCAAGGGTTGCCAGTTCATTTCCCAGTCAGGGCACATGCCTGCGTTGTGAGCTAGGTTCCCAGTATGGGGCACATGAGAGGCAACCACACGTTGATATTTCTCTCCCTCTCTTTCTCCTTCTCCTTTGTTCTCTCTAAAAATGAATAAATAAAATCTTTTCTTAAAAGTTTATTTATAAAAAATATGTATAACATTCTTAAAAAGAAGTCCTAGCAGCCCTGGCTGGTGTAGCTCAGTGGATTGAGCGCGGGCCTGCAAACCAGACGATCTCGGTTCGATTCCCAGTCAGGGCACATGCCTGGGCTGCAGGCCAGTTCCCTGCAGGCTGGTTCCGGCAGGGGATCCACGATATGCAACCATACATTGATGTTTCTCTCCCTCTCTCCTTCCCTTCCCCTCTAAAGATAAATAAATAAATAAATCTAAAAAAAATAAATAAAAATAAAAAGAAGTCCTAGCTATACCTATCAAAGCCTAAAGCTTAGTCAGGACAGCTGGCCCAGCAGTTACCTGCAGGAGAATTCATTCCTTCACAGTTGGATCTATTGGTGTAATTATTTCTGGAAGGCTGTGTCTCAGAGGTTAACAGTGACTATGGCCAGACTGTGGTTGATTTTGGGGAGCTTTTTGAAAAACTTAGGTTTTAAAATTCTTGTACAGTTAAAAAATTACTTCTATAAAAGCCAATGTGAAGCATCATTGTTAAAAGATTGATGTTACAAAAGAAACTTTGATGATCTTTCAAGTATGCCTTAAAATGAATAGCCTGTTAAAGATTTCTGAAGTATTCTAATAATACAATGCTACCATTGTGTGGATATAATAGACATGGAGATTTTTAAAATATTTTTATTCTGGATATTGTAAAATTCCTGATGACTTTTAAAAGTTAAATTGATTTTTTCACTAACTTTATTCAAAATGCTTCACACTTTGATATGTTATTTATGGTTGGATTACATGATGTAGCTTTCTTTTCAGGATGAAGACAGTACTTAGGAAAGAGCTTGATGGGTCTCTCAATTATAAATAACAGCAGTACTAGTGAGAATTATTTTTTAGTTCAATAAATGTTTGTTGAATATAGTTTTAAGCATCTGCTTAATGTCAGGTACTGTTTTAAACACCGCGTATATTAACTTATTTAATCTTTATGACAACTCTAATTTTATTTATTTTTTAATACTTTTAAAAAATATTTTTATTTATTTTTAGACAGAGAGAAAGAGGGAGAGAAACGTCATCAATCAGTTGCCTCCGCACACCCCCAACTGGGGGCCTGGCCCACAACACAGGCCTGTGCCCTGACCGGTAACCGAACCAGCGACCTTTAGGTTTGCAGGCTGGTGCTCAGTCAGCTGAGCCACACCAGCCAGGGCACATCTCTAATTTTATAGATACCATTACTACTACTGCTGCTAATAATAATAATGATTACTGTTATTTGTTGATGTTTGAGTTCTAGCTTGTGTAGCCATTGTTTATTTTCCATGATTGCTTAGATTTCAACAGACAACTCAAACTTAACATGAATTCCTGATTATCTCTCCTTTTAAACATTCTTTTTACCGTAGTCTTCTCTAGCTCAATTCATGGCAGTACCATCCTTCTAGTTGCTCAGGCCAAAAACTTTAGGGTCACCCTCCGTTCCTCTCATTTTTGCATACCCATATTTAATTTTTCAGCAGATTTGTTGAGCTCAGTCTTTAAAACATAGCCAGAATTCCACTAATTCTCAACACCTGCGTTGCTACCACTGTGTTCCTAACTGTCACCATCTGGCAACGACAGTAGCTTCCTGGCTTTCACCCTTTCTTCTCAAGGCTGTTCTCGACTCAGCAGCTAGTATGAGCCTTTAAAAACATTGAATCTCTTCCTTTCCTCAGTCACAATCCTTACATTGCCCTTATGTCACTGGAGAAAAGTTCCAGTTCTGCGACCCACAATGCCCTCTGTATTTGGGCATCACACACGCCCAGCCCCCCAACCTGCTCTCTTCCCAGTTTTCCCGTCACTCTGCATTAGTCGAATCTGTCTCCTGGATATTTTGCAAACATGCTATTTACCTACCATAAGGTCTTGTTTTTACTTGCTGTTCCCTTAGCTTAAAGTGCTCTTTCCACAGAGATGGCCAACATGACTCCCTCCCTCAGGTTGTCCCCACTTCCTGGAGGTCTTTACACAAATGTCATCTTCTCAGTGAGGTCCCATCTGGACACACACACACAGACACCCTTCCCTAACTTATTTTCCTGCAGAGCCTTATAACTCTTCAACATATTTTTATGTATTTATTGAATACAAGAGCAGGTGTGTTTGTCTATATGTTCACTACTGTGTCCCCAGAGGTAGGACAGTGCCTGGCACCTAGCAGATACCTAATATTTGTCAAGTGAACAAATCTAGGGCCCTCTGCTTTGCAAATGAGGACTCTGAGGCTCTGGGCAGGGGAGGGCAGCTAACTTGCTGGCAGCCACACAGTCGGTGCCTTTCAGTCCCCAGGGTGGGTGCTCTTCATCCCCATGATGTTACCCTTCACAATCAGGGCACTGCTTGGAATTTATACACATTTGAAATTATAGTAAACACACTCTTAATTTTTCCCACTTTTTAGGAGAGGGACGTATACCAATTTGTACGTAAAGTAAGCTTTTAAAATGGAATTTAAAATGTCCTTGGTTTTATTTGTGTTGCCAGGTGATTCATCCTAAAACTGATGAACAGAGATGCAGACTTCAGGAAGCTTGCAAAGATATTCTCCTTTTCAAAAATCTTGATCAGGTAACATTGATTTTTAAAATATTTTTGTCCCTTTATTTTGCTTCTCTAACTTGTTTCCTGAGCCTACACAGCCCAGCTGGCTCTCTTCTCCCTATGTAATTTTCTAGCTAAATTGTCTCTTACAATTTGAAAAAATAAAATGGCTTTACTTTTAGCTTTTTTCCTTTGTCATTTAAACAGTTCTAGTGTTTAACCACAGCCATGTGAGGCATAAAACTTGAGACTTGCCTTCCTTGCAGATGTTTGCATTGTGTTTTGAGCTTTTCAGGTGACTTTAGTTTTTTGTAGAGCTCCTTTGACACTTCTCCCAGACAGTGCCTTTTGACGGCCGTGCGCTTTGGTCACGTAAAAAGAGAATGCTCAGGTTCGTGTGACCCTGGCTTAGTTTGAAGGGTCTGAATTCATGCTGCAGAATAATTTCTCCAAAGATGCCAGTGTGGAGTTCTCTTCATCTGCATCTGGAAGTGTGTGACTGCTTCTCAGACCTGAGGGTATGGGGCACCTCTTGGGATAACTTCCCATTGAAAACCTCTGGCATGTGGGACACACACGGAGTGTTGTGGGTACAGGGCCCGGCAGAGGGATCTCTGCATAAGCTTGTTTTCCCTCCTTCAGGGAAGACAGAGAGCAGGGGCTACCTCCCAAAGACAATCTTCAGATTTCCTCTGTCTTTTCTACTTTGAGGGGCCACATGCTAAAGCCACATGAATGGCTGAGATGCTGGACCTACTGGGGAACCCCCAAATGTACAGAGATAGGAAGGCTGGGATTAGAATTCTATTACTACTCAGCTCCTGCAGATAAGTCTTCTGAAGATATTCCCACAAGCCCTCCCTGGGAATCTGGCTGGCCATACATGAATCTGTGATGTAACAGTCAAGGGGACCAGCCATCTCTGGTAAACCAGTCTATTTGCTAGCTCTGTGGTTTTAGGAATGCCCAGAACATTAGCCAGAGTTTTATCAGACTCAGGCTGAATAAAACAAAACAAGGACCATGAGCTCAAGGAAAGGCTGGTTGTGAGAAGTACTTGGTCTGTCAGTTGTTTTCTCTAGACGACCTATCTGTAGCAACGGAAAGGGGAGTTGCTTCTTTATCTACTGTGAATAAAACCTCTTGTAAACGTAATACCATTAGATGTTCTAAGGGAAGTTGCTATGTCAATTTAATAAAGAGTTTTGTTAGTTTTGGAGAATACCATTTTAGCTTGAAAAATGGTAAATGAATTTTTGGATTTATCAGTAATTATCTTTTTCTAACATTTTATCATGAAAATATTCAAATACAACAAAGTTTAAAGAATTTTATGGAACAAGCATTTATTCACTACTCTGATTAACATTTACTATGCTTGCTGTGTTACATCTATCTACCCATCCCTCAGCAAAGGGATCTGCAAGCTTTTTCTTAAAGAACCAGATAGTGAACATTCCACCACAGTTACTCAACTTTGTTATTATTGCAGGAAAGCAGCCATCGACAATACATAAATGAAGGGTGTGGCTGTGCTGCAGTAAAACCTTATTTAGAAAAATGGGCAGCTATTTGTCGGCTTCTGTATTAACCCATCTTATTTTAGGCAGTACATTTCACAGGTAATTGCAGGCATCAGTATTCTTGCCCTTAAATACTTTGGCATGCATGTCATGAACTAGTGCTTAATACTTGCTTATAATTTTTTAATGTTTTAAGTGTACATTCACAGAAGTTTGACCAAATCATACACTTAGGTAACCAAACCCCTACTAAGATATAGTCACCCTGGTAGGTGTGGCTCAGGGATGGAGCATCATCCTGTAAACTGAAAGGTGGCCAGTTCGATTCCCAGTTAGAGCATAGACCTGGGTTGCAGGCTGGGTCCCTAGGCGGGGGCCTTTGAGAGGCAACTGACAGATGTATCTCTCCAACGTCTCTCTCTTTCTCACTTCCTTCCTCTCTCTCTAAAAGTAAATAAGTAAAATATTTTTAAAAAAATAAAATTTTAAATAAATCTTTAAAAAAAGATATAGAACATTGCCACCACTCCAGAAAATTCCCTCATGCACCTTCATGATCATTTCTTGCCCCTCTGTGGGGACGATGCTCTAACAAACTGAGCTTACCTGGCCAGGGGTATTTTGGACTAGTTTTAAGCTCACAAAAAAAGTTGCAAAAATAGCACAGAGACCTAATATATTCCTCAACCAGTTCTTCCAATATTAGCATCTTATATATACCACAGTACAATTATCAAAACCAGGAAATTAATGTTGTTACAATACTGTTGAAACTACAGACCTTCAGTACCTCTTCCAAATTTCACTTCTTTTCTCACTAATGTTTTATTTTGTTTTGTTCTGTTTTCTGGATGAGGATCTAATCCAGAATCTCACATAGCATTTAGTTATTATTTATTCTTAGTCTACACCAATCTGTGACAGGTGTCAGTTCTTTCTAAGTCGTTCATGATGTTGGCACTTTGAAGAGTACTTCTTAATTATCTCATAGAACGTACCTCAGTTTGAATTAGTCTGATACTTCCTCATGATTGGGAAACAGTTACACATTTTTGGCCAGAAATCATATTGTGTCCTTCTCAGAGAATCATATTTTAAGAGGTCCATGAAATCAGTATGTCTCATTGCTGGTAATGGTAGTTCTTTCCTTTTTATTGCCGAGTAGCATTCCGTTGCATAAAAATGCCAGTTTGCTCATCCATTTTTCTGTTGATGGCTGCCCAACCTGGTTCTCATTTTTCAGCTCTTGCAAATAATGCTATGGACATTTTGTACAAGTCTTTCTGTGAACTTTTTCCCACATTTCTCTTCAGTAAGTTACCTCAGGGCAAAATTGCTGAATCGTAGGATAGGGATTTATTTGATTTTATAAAAATAGGTCTTTTTGAAAGCAGTTTTATCATTTTGCATTCCTTCCAACAATATGTGAGATTCGTAGTTGCTCCTTATCCTTACCAACATTTAATATTGTCTATCTTTCTAAATTTTAGCCATTCTGGTGAATGTATTTATCTCAATTTTTAAAAATTTAAAAGTTTCTGTCTTTAAATTTTCAAACTTTCAGAAAGTCAAAAGCATAGTACCATGAACAGCCATACATACACATTTTACCTAGACTGACAGTTAACATTTTCTACATTTACTGTTTCTCTCATATGCATGTGTGTACATGCCTTATATACTTATATATGCAATAAGTACATATAAACTGCTTTTTCCTAAAGATGTATTCCTATATTAATACAGTACTAATACTAAACTCAAGAAATTTAATATTGGTGTGATAATATTACCTAACATACAGTCCATGTTCAGATTTTCCCAGTGAAGTTTTCGGTATCTTTTTGGTGTTTGTTTTTCAAATCCTGAATCCCATGTTGCTTTTGGTCGTCACGGTGTCTTTCAGTCCCCTCTAACCTAGAATGCTCCCCCAGCACCTTACTCTATATCTCAAGACACTGGTGTTTTTAAAGAGTCCAGGGCAGAAGAAGAGTTACCCAGAACAATAGGCTGCCAATGTACGGCCCCCAGGCCAGACACAGCCAGGTAGAGATGTGTGTGTTTGGTCTGTACTGTACATGAAAATCTGAATTTGTTACCAGTACAAGTCATTCATTGCCTAACAACAGGGATACCTTCTGAGAAATGTATCGTTAGGCTATTTCGTCACCATGTGAACATCAGAGCACCCTTACATAAACGTGGTACAGCCCACTGCACACCTAACGCATATGTGTAGCCTGTTGCTCCTAGCACAAGCCTATACAGTGTGTTACGGTGCTGAGTACTTTAAGCAATTGTAAACAATGGTAAGTTTTGTGTATCTAAACATACCCAACAGGAGATTAAATCAAGCACAATAGAAAAGCGATGCAATCAAGAGATGCCATAAACACGAGATGTATGAGGCTGCTGCTGACTGACACAGCATATTGTGTTACAACAAACATTTTTTTTAATAAATGAAAGGAGTACACTCTAGTGATAAAAAGCGTAGTATAGTACATACATAAACGAGTTGCATAGTCATTTATCATCATCAAGTATTACATCCTGTACAGATTGTATGTGCAACACAGCTGACGGTTGGTTTGTTTACACCACCATCCCCACAGACGTCACCATAAACGTGTAACGTGTTGTGCCGCGATGTTAAGGTGGCTACGGCCTCACTAGGCAATAGGAACTTTTTAGCTCCACTGTAGTCTTACTGGGCCACCGTCATGTATTCCGGCTGTCACTGACCAAAACGTTGTTATGCAGCGCATGACTGTTTAAACGCGAGGTGGCAACGCTGGGCTAACATTCCACACTAATGTGGATGGCGTATGAGTAGTGAGCCTTTTTATATTTGTCAGCTTCTACAGTATTCAACATACATGCAACTGTAGAACGAAAGTGATGCTTTTTGGTGATACTCAGTTATTTTAGGTAGCATAGTCACACTGACAGAACACTAAATCACATGAAATTATCCTCCAAAGAAAAGGTCTTTCTTTGAGTTGAAGCTGGGTTTTTTTTTTTTTCAAGATTTTTTAAAATTTATTTTTAGAGAGGGGAAGGGAGGGAGAGAGTAAGGGAGGGAAATAGCAATGTGTGGTTGCCTCTTGAGTGCCCCCTACTGGGGACCTAGCCTGCAACCCAGGTTTGCGTCCTGACTGGGAATCAAACCAGTAACCCCTTCTTGGTTCACAGGTGGCACTCAGTCCACTGAGCCACACCAGCCAGGGCTGAAGCTGGTATTCTTTACTGAGCTCTAATGGTCACTGATCTCCCTGCCCGACAGAGGCCCTGGTCTGAGACCAATGTTTTGTTAGAATTGAATAGCATTGTTTTGTTTTCATTATACTTATTGACACAGTTACCTTCTGGCTATGGCGGGTAATGTTGGTGAGTAAGCAATTGTACATTTTTGTATAGAAATGACTGAAGCAGTATTAGCTGTCTGATAATAGATCTCATTTACTGAGTACCTGTTATGTAATACTTTCCTCAATATTTATTAAGCCCTTTTATACATATGAAAAGAAGTGAGAGAGGTAGTGAAGTGAGAAAAGAAGTGATGTGCTTGGCTAGTTAGACAGTTGAACTGCCCCAAAAGATAAGCTCCAATGCTATCCCAGCCCCTTAGATCTGATAATCCTGTTAAATTAAAACCAACAGGAAGGTGACATCATATGGTTTTACACATGACACAGTGGAACATCAGGGCCAGTGGCAGGCACATGGGTTGGTTGAGAGAATGGGCACCATGATTTAGATGTCTATGTTTGCTTAAATAATGGAACACTTTTTCAAAACTGTGCTGCCTCAGAAAAACTCAGCGCCTCAGCTGTGCATGCGGAGGTGCAAAGCTGGATTGTTACAGGAAAGCACTTGTTTCAGTCCTAAGTTTCTGCTTGGTTATGGGGAATAATCTGAGTTGGGGCTTCCACTGTGTAGTCACAAACTGAGATAAGCATAGTCATTTTTTTCCCCAGCAGATGTGAAGGCCATCTTTTCTCCTTGTGTTTACTCTGCAGGAACAGCTTTCTCAAGTCCTCGATGCTATGTTTGAAAGGGCAGTCAAGGTGGATGAGCATGTTATTGACCAAGGAGATGATGGAGACAACTTTTATGTCATCGAACGGTAGGAGATGGAGCTCTGCAGTTGTACAGACACACTGAACTATGACTCATGTTTAGGACAAGTGCTTGACGCTACACTTTGTTCAGTCCCAAGATGACATAGGCAGACGAACAAGCTTCGCAGAGCTTCCCCATCTCCTTCCACTGCCTGCCCCTTTCTACTGTGGTCCTGAGTCCTCAGTACTCCCCACACTTGGGTTGCCACTATCTCCAGTGGAAAGGCTCCTTTACAGTTAGGCAAGATGTGCTTTATAAAGCTGTTGTCAGTGTTCAGGGGAATTGATTGCTAAAGAATAGCTGTGATTCTGTTATCATCCGAATCTTTCGATCCCAGCCTCATTTTACATGGGAAGACACTGCCTCAACCTCTGCCTCTGTTCCAGGCATAAGCCACATTGGAAAATACGAACTAGGTGGGTTTGACCTGCTCGCCTTAGTGCGCCCTGACATCGGGAGCCGTCAGTACCCTCCGGGGCCTCCTCTGAGCCCTGCGGAAAGGGGTGCCTCCCAGAGTTTAGGATCAGTACGATGTGGCCTTACCCAATAACGTCCATATTTATTTTTAATTTTTTTAAGGTTAACTACTTTTTATTGTTGAATTATATCGCCAAATCTACATCTACAAGTTTAATCAGGAAAAAGTGCTTTGCATTTACGTCAAGGAAATTTTTTCTTTTGAAGTAATTTCAGAGTTACAGAAATGTTACACAGATAATACAAAAAAAATTCTCATAAACCTAGTTCCCCAGGTTAGTGTTTGACTGCGTTGCTTTATTGTTTGGGAGTAAGTTGCAGTTACAATGCCCTTTTACCACCAAATACTTCAGTGTATATTTCCTAAAAATAGGACATTCTTTTACATAAGCACAGAACAATTTTAAAAATCAGAAGTTAACATTTATACAGTACTGTCATCTCCTCTACAGACTTATTCAAATTTTTCCAATTGCTTCCCTAATTTTCAAGATTCTTTTCATCTCTGCCAAGTAGCTATAACAGATTCATGTGGTTCCCTTTCTCGTCAGGCCTTTGTTCAGATTCTTGCACAGAAAATGTTCTCACTCCTTGAGTAACCTTTGGACTCTTGATGTCTGTGACAGTGTTACAGCTAGAAGAGATGTTTTATTTAAGGAGTAAAGATAGTACAAATAATAATCTTCTAAGCTACATTCCCACACCCAGTAGCCGCCTTTCCCCCTTGCTCTGAATGTGCTCGCCCCCCAACTCAGGAATCCCAGTGGGCCTGCAGTTTGGGAACTGAGCATCCACCTGCACACATCTGTGCTTAGAGGTCGAAGTGCCTGTCTGCAGAGGGGATGATTTGTTACATGTGCAAATGAGAGGGATTAGCTTTTGTACACTGCGAAAGTAATTATTGACACATTGGAAAGACTATCATTTAAGAAAAAAGATATGGTTCTTGACCTCAAAAAATTCATCTGTTGGAGAGACAGATCCTTAAATAGATAATTATTACTTATCCATTTAAGTAATCCAATAACTATAATTATTAATCATAAATGGATGTGGTGGGAACAACGATGATAAAAATATGTTCTGTTATTTGGAAGAGGACTTGAGTGGGAGAGGTTAAGAAAGACTGCTCTGCAGCTGACCTTTGACCTGAAATGGCTCATGTCATTCCCCAAATTCAGTAACTAGTGTCTCCTGGAGGACTGACTCTGAGTTCCGTTATCCAGTCATGGCCTCATTACTTTTGCCCTGTCTACAAGGTCTAGTGCAGGTCCGCTTCCTGTTGAGTGGTGAGCTCTTTTAGGAACAGAGTTGGTGCCATATAGCCTGATACTTTAGAGACTGATTTTAATTACTGCTTCCTGTATAACATACCGTACTTAGTGATTTTATCAGGCAAGCAGAGGCTCTTAATAGGAAATTTAGAGAATTAAAATAAAAACAGGAGTTCTGGCTGGTGCAGCTCAGTGGCTTGAGCTGATTCCTGTGAACTGAAAGGTCACCAGTTTGATTCCCACTCAGGGCACATGCCTGGGTTTCAAGCCAGGTCCCCAGTTGGGGGCGTGTGAGAGGCAACTGACTGATGTTTTGTCTCCTTTTCTCCCTCCCTTCCCCTTTCTAAAAATAAATAAGTAAAATCTTTTTTTATATAGATTTTTTAAAAATTTGTTTATCTGTAGAGGGGAAGGGAAGGAGAGAGGGAGAGAAACATCAATGTATGGTTGCTTTCATGCGTCCCCTGCTGGGAAACTGGCCTGCAAGGAACCAGCCTGCAACCTGGCATGTGCCCTGACTGGGAATTGAACCGCAATTGTCTGGTTTGAAGGCCTGTGCTCAATCCACTGAGCTACACCAGCCAGGGCTATAAAATCTTTTTTAAAAAAAAAGAAAACTGGAAAGATAAGTGATCTGACCATAATTTTATTACCAGAGTATATCCATTTCTCCCCCCTATGTTTTACTGTTGAGGTTAAATCTGTTACCCCAAATTTGGTCCAGATGCTTTGACTGATGATACCACACACACTAGGGGAATAAAAAGGTTTCTCACTCACATAATGACGCTTTTTAGGGAGAGCAAGTCAAGCTCCCAGTAAGTCCAAAAATGACGGTAGGGAGGGGCGACTGACCTGGAACTTCACGGTGTTTCGAAAGCTGGACTGGGGTGTGGGGACTCTTATGTATGGGCTGGCACTTGTGTTGTCTGAATATCCCATCAGCACCATCAGAGGGAGCAAGAGGCTTGCTTATCAGCTTTCCTAGACGGGAGTTGGAAGAGGAAGGTGGACTGACATGGTAGGGCTTGAAAGCTGTTACAGTCAAACATCAACAACGGAGTTGACTGTTTATTACATTTACACGTATGTACTTTTTTATGTTGTATCATACATTGTTGTGTGGCCTGATTTCAAAATCCATTTTAAGTAGATTGCCATGGGACGCAGCATTTTCTGTCTTCTTTATATTGACTGTATAATGTGGATACAGATATGCATTTGACCTATCTCTTCTTGTTAGATTAAATTGTAATCTTTGCTCTTATAAATATTACTCGGTGAGCATCCATGTAGTTAAATCACTTTCAGTATCTTTGATTATCTCCTTTAGAATGCCAATTAGAAATGAAATTGCCGTGTCAGAGGGTCTCTTTAAGGAAGTTGCTGTGTGTTCATTATCTTGGAGAAGCTTGGAAACATTTACATTTGCCTCGAGTGGTATATGGAGAGTTGCCTATTTCTCCAGCTGCTTGTCAGTTCTGAATATCATTATCAGTCAACAGGCAGAAATGTTATTTTTTTATTTTAATCAAGTCTACATCTTAGTTTTCAACAGACTACAAAACAAAACTCTACATTCATTTAAATAACTGCAGGAAAAGCATTTGACAAAATTCAACACCTTTTCTTCATAAAAACTCTCCACAAAATAGGAACAGAAGGGACTTTTCTCCAAACTAATTAAAGGCATTTTTAAAAACCTACAGCTAACATCATACTTATGGTGAAAAATTAAATGTTTTCCCTTTAAGATCAGGAACAAGACAAGGATGTCTGCTCTCACTACTTCTATTTAATATTGTATGTAGGTTCCTAGCCAGTGCAGTAAGGCAAAGAAGGAAAAGGAAAGGAAGAAGGGAAGGTGGGCAGGAGGGATATAGATTGGAAAGTAAGAAGTAAAACTCTCTCTACAGATGACATGACCCTCTAGAGCAGGCATGTCACGTTCATTTTCACCAAGGGCCACATCAGCCTCAAGGTTGCCTTCAAAGGCCAAATGTAATTTCAACTCCTTAACAGTTAAGGAATAGTTACATTTATACAGTCCTAAAATTATTTCAGCCCTTTGAAGGCAACCACAAGGCTGATGTGGCCCCCGGTGAAAATGAGTTTGACACCCCTGCTTTAGAACATCCTAACAGTGCTAAAAAAGGCTACTAGAACTAATCATTGGGTTTGTCAGTGTCACAGAATACAAAGTCCAAATCCATATATCTTTTGGGCATACCCTATAACAGTGTTTTCTGTCTTGTATACTTTCTATTTATATACCACCTGCCAGTTCTTAACTTTATTGTTGGAATTAATAAATGAAATTGTTTTTCATTACACTTCCAGGGGAACGTATGATATTTTAGTAACAAAAGATAATCAGACTCGCTCTGTTGGTCAGTACGACAACCGAGGAAGTTTTGGAGAACTGGCTCTGATGTACAACACCCCGAGAGCTGCTACCATTATTGCCACTTCAGAAGGCTCCCTCTGGGGACTGGTGAGTTGGGGACTGGTTCCCTCGCATGGCACAGTATTCATTCCCTTTACTCCTGAGTCTCCGTCCTCCGGCGGTTGATTACCACTATATTTTATAGACAGTTATTTGAATGACATGGTGGAAGGCCCTGGCTGGTGTGGCTCAGTGGGTTGGGCACCATCCCACAAATGGAAAGATCACTGGATCCATTCCCGACAGGGCACTTGCCTGGGTTACAGGGCCAGGTGCCTGGTCAGGGACATGCGAGAGACGACCGATGGACGTTTATCTCTCACATCGGTGTTTCCTTCCCTCTCTTTCTCTCTTCCCTTCTCTCTAATAATAAATAAATTAAATCTTTAAATAAATAAATAAGATGATTTGTGAGTACCATTTATTCTAAATTACAGGACAACTGGGTCTTGTGACCCTGCAGTCATGTCAGCTCTTACTACATTTTCTGTTTGATGTTTTTATGAGACAAATGGGTGGCAGGGGGCGGGTAATGCTCCATATAAGAGAGAGCCTAGAAAAATAAGTCATTGAGCCCTGGCTGGTGTGGCTCAGTGGATTGAGTGCTGGACTATGAACCAAAGGGTCCATGGTTCGATTCCCAGTCAGGGCCCATGCCTGGGTTGCAGGCCAGGTGCTCAGGGGAGCAAGGGGGAGGCAACCACACATTGATGTTTCTCTCCCTCTCTTTCTCTCTCCCTTCCCCTCTGTCTAAAAACAAATAAATAAAGTCTAAAAAAATAAAATCTTATACATCTTTTTAAAAAACCTTATGCTTGATCATTCCAACCTACTGTGAAATCTCCCTCCTTGGAATTCTTGTGGCACTTAATCTGTCTCTGTAGTTCATCTAGTACCTTTCAGATGCCATCTTGAATTGTAAATGTTTTAATCTCCATATACTTTGTATTGTCTCCTCATTGAGATTGTGAAGCCCTTGAGGGCAAAAAGACATCTGATTGTTTTATGTCCTTTTTCTGAGGGTGCGTGTTTTCACACTGAACAGTGATTGACTGTAAGCTCACAAATGTTTAATTGGAAGCTTTTCATTTTATATTCTATTTATGGCCCCTAAGTGGCACTCACTGTGTACTACTTAGCAAGCAGCAATTTGTAGACATCCGTCTGGCCCAGGCTGTAGTCTTTTCCTCCAAGTGAAGACTTAGATCGAAATATGTGACTTAGCACCTTTCATAGTCCTCTAATACTTGCTGTGTCCAGTTAGTTAAACCATGGGTATTCTCTTAGGTACACATTTACCGGGATTTTCATGTTTTTTCTTGTAGGATCGTGTGACTTTTAGAAGAATCATAGTGAAAAACAATGCAAAAAAGCGGAAGATGTTTGAGTCATTTATCGAATCTGTGCCCCTTCTTAAATCACTAGAGGTAAAGTCTATTCAAATAAGACTCTATTTACTTAGATTTAAGGAACGCTCTTAAGCCCTGGTAGGGTGGCTCAGTCCATTGGAGTGTTGTCTCGTACACCAAAAGGTTGTGGGTTTGATGTCTGATCAGGGCATATACACCTAGGTTTCGGGTTTGAGGCATGTACAGAAGGCAACCGATCAATGTTTCTTTCTCACATCAATATTTCTCTCTCCCCCTCTTCTTCCTGTCTGTCTAAAATCAGTAAACATATCCTTTGGTGAGGATTAAAAAAAAAAGAATAGGAAAGCTATTAAAACTATCCTATTGCCCTGGCCAGGTAGCTCAGTTGGTTAGAGCATCATCCTGATAGTCCAGGGTTACAGGTTCGATCTCCAAGTCGGGGCACATACAAGAAGCAACCAATGAATGTATAAATATGTGGAAAAAGAAATCAGTGTCTCTCTCCGTCCCCCCATAATCAATAAATTTTTAATTAAAAACAATTCTATTGTTAGGTTTTCAAATCAAAGTATTCTAATCTATTTCTTTGTTGTATAGATGATATTTGTGACTTTGAGTTCCAGCGTTTTCCTTATCATTTGTGGGCATGTCTATTGTTTCAGGTGTCAGAACGAATGAAGATTGTGGATGTGATAGGAGAGAAGAACTATAAGGATGGAGATCGCATAATCACTCAGGTGAGGGATGGGGAGCCCCCTCCTGAAGGACTAGTGCATCACCTGTCCACTCACTCTGGGGAGCTCGTGTTTCAGATCCTAGGACACACTTCCTGCAGGGTTTTCTGAAGCCCTTTGATGTTCATCTCACTGACATGCAGATCTGTTGCCTTCATTCACCTTTCCCTGGCTTCTAGTGTTTGTTCTTTTGGATGTCATTTTCTTTTGACCCTGAGCAAGCTTCATTCATGGCTGTTAAAACCTGGGGAAGGTCAAATAGTTGTGCCTTTTACCTCTTTCTGTGTTTGGCACAGAGGTAGATTCTTAGCTAATCTAACACAAACCAGAATCTTCAGTCTCCAAAGCAACTGTCTCCTGAAAGTGCCAGGCCTTCAGGAGGTATGTCAAGAGGTACAAGAAGCCACAGTGTTTTCCAGTGTGTCTGCTCTTGAAGACAGGAGTGCTGGCTAGTGGCACAAAATGGATACAAATTAATATACTTATTATAGACTCCTTTTGATGGTGTCTCTAGACCAAGGTTTCTCAAGCAATTCCAAATGGTTTTGAGAGGAACAATGACATGAGTATTGTATTTCCAAAGCATAGTTCTGGCATCAGTGAAAAATGAATTGGTGCCCTGACTGGTGTAGCTTAGTGAGTTGGGCATCATCCCACAAAGCTAAAGGTTGTCTGTTGGATTCTGGGTCAGGGCATGTGCCTGGGTTGCAGGTTTGGTCCCACATTGGGGCACATATATATGAGAGGCATCCAATCGATGTTTCTCTCCCTCTCTTTCTCTCTACCTTCCCCTCTCTCCAAAAATAAATTAAAAAAATTTTTTTAATGAATTAGCTTCAGCTTCATTGAGTAATCAAGGAAATGCACTGAGCGTGGGCTGAGAACCAAAGGGTCGCCAATTCGATTCCCACTCAGGGCCCATGCCTGGGTCATGGCCAGATGCCCATTATGAGGTGAATGGGAGGCAACTACACATTGATGTTTCTCTCCTTTTCTTTCCCCTCTCTCTAAAAATGAATAAATAAAATCTTTTTTATTTTTATTTATTTATTTTTAAATATTTTATTTATTTATTTTTTGAGAGAGGGGAAGGGAAAGAGAGAGGGAGAGAAATATCAGTGTATGGTTGCCTTTCATGCGTCCCCTGATGGGAACTGGCCCGCAACCCAGGCATGTGCCCCGACTGAGAATTGAACCTTGATACTCTGGTTCGCAGGCCCATGCTCAATCCACTGAGCTACGCCAGCCAGGGCAATAAAATCTTTTTTTAAAAAGAGGAAATGTAAATTAAAAACCACATTTAGGAACCATTTTCATACATACTACTTTGTCCAGAAGTAGGAATCTGACCTTTTTTTTAAAAAGACTTTATTTATTTTTAAAGAGAGGAGAAGGGAGGGAAAAGGGGAAGGAGAGAAACATCAGTGTGTGGTTGCCTCTCTAGCATCCCCCCACTGGGGACATGGCCCGCAACCCAGGCATGTGCCCTGACTGGGAATTGAACAGGCATCCCTTTGGTTCACAGGCTGGCACTCAATGCACCGAGTCATACCAGCCAGGGTATGATACCAGCCAGGGTATGATACCAGCCAGGGTATGACCTTTTTTTTTTGCAATCTGACAATTTTTAAGTGATGTAGCAAGAACTTTTATTCACTGTTAATAGGAGAATAACTTAATTGAACCCCTTTGGAGAGAAATTTAATCTTAGCCTATAAAGTTCACTTTATTCTTAATCTAGAAGTTTCTTTCCTTGATATTTTCAGAGAAATGCTCTCACACCTCAGAAGAGGCCCAACCCTTACAGGCTCCTTCTCAGCCACTGCCCTCCCGCCGTCCTACCCTGACTTGCGTGGCAGTCACATGCTTGCTTCTCTTTGTAGTTCTTACCTCTTGTGTGTACACCTTAAACAATGTGGCCAAGGTTTCCTTTTTTAAAATTTCTTTCATTGGAATTAGAAAGTATATGTTTTATTTGCATCTTGCTTTTATTGCTCAATGTTCATTCACATTGTATGCAACTATAGTTTATTGGGGCGGGTATTGCTCTGTAGTATTTCGGTATATGGATATAAACAAATTCTTTGCCTTTGCACCGCTGATGGACATTTAGGATATTTCTAGGTTTTAGCTATTACAAACAGTACGTAAGTGATTATGTTGATTTGGTTTTCAAATGTTAAAGCTACCTTTTGTTGCTGACATAAAATAAACCAATTTGGCCATTATATAGTATCCTTTTTATATATTGATAAATTCAATTTGCTAGTATTTTGTTTAAGATTTTGTGTCTACCCCTGACTGGTGCGGCTCAGTGGATTGAGTGCTGGCCTGCGAACCAGAGGGTCACCAGTTCGATTCTCAGCCTAGGGCACCTGCCTGAGTTACGGGCCAGGTCCCCAGTAGGGGGCGCACAAGGAGCAACCACACATTGATGTTTCTCTGCCTCTCTTTCTCCGTCCCTTCTCCTCTCTAAAAATAAATAAAGTCTTTTTTAAAAACTAAAAAAGTAATATTTGAGCAATGCAGAAATGTATATACTATGAGTTAAAGGTTTCTTTAAAAACAAACAAAAAAAAACCAAACAAACACACCAGTCACATGCCCTGACTGGTGTGACTCTGGTTGAGTACCAGCCTGTGAATCAAAGGGTTACCAGTTCGATTCCCAATCAGGGCACATGCCTGGGTTGTGGGCCAGTTCCCCAGTGGGGACTACATGATAGGCATCCACACATTTATGTTTCTTTCCATTTCTTTCTCTCTCCCTTACTCTCTCTAAAAAATAAATAAAATCTTTTTTTTATATTTGTAGATTTTTTTACAATGTTTTTTTAAATTTTTTTTTTCAAGAGAGGGGAAGGAAAGGGAGAAAGAGTGGGAGAGAAATATCAGTGTGTGGTTGCTTCTCATGCGTCCCCTGCTGGGAACTTCCCCGCAACCCAGGCATGTGCCCTGACTGGGAATCGAACCGTGATACTCTGGTTCGCAGACCTGCGCTCAATCCACTGAGTTATGCCAGCCAGGGCAGTAAAATCTTTATTAAAAAAAAGATTTTATATCTTATGTTCCCAAGTGAGGCTTATATATACTTTTCCATTTTATAAGTAGCTTTCTCAGATTTTGATATCAAGATAATGTTAACTCATAATGTAAGTTGGAATTCAGTTCTCTTTCTAGTATCTAAAGAGTTTATATAAGGTTAGAGGTTCTCACCATGGATGGTGTGCCTCGGTGGATTGAGTGCCGGCCTGCGAATCAAAGGTCAGTGGTTTGATTGCCAGTCAGGGCACGTGCCTGGGCTGTGGGCCAGGTCCCCAACAGGGGGCGTGCGAGAGGCAACCGCACATCTATGTCTCTCTGCCTCTCTTTCTCCCATCCCTCTCTAAAAAATAAATAAATAAAATCTTTTTTTTTAAATTAGAGTTTCTTGGATATTTAATGGAACCAGTGTTTTCTTTGTGGGAAGATTTTGACTACAGATTATTTTGTTAAACTATTTAGATTTTTTATTTCATTTTTTTAAATTAAATTTTTCAGGGTGATGTTGGTTAATAAAATTATATAGCTTTTAGGTATATAATTCTACAATATATTTCATCTTTGGAGTGTTTTGGTAAGATGTCTTTTTTAGGGATTTATTCATCTCCTAAAATGCAGTGTTATTGGCATAAATTTTGTCATAGTGTTCCTATCAATGTCTTAAATATCTACAGCATCTAGAATGATGTTCCTATTGTCTTATCTATTTTTTGAGATTTTATTTATTTTTAGGAAGGAGATGGAGGGAGAAAGAGAGGGAGAGAAACATTGATGTTTGAGAGATAGATACACAGATTGGTTGCCACTCACACACCCCCAGCCAGGGACCTGGCCTGCAACCCAGGCATGTGCCCTGACTGGGAATAAAACTGGTGACCTTTTTGTTCTCAGGCTGGTGCTCAAGCCATTGAGTCACATCAGCCAGGGCTCTTTTTTAAAAAAATTCTGTTCTTTTATTTTTAGAGAGAGGGAAAGCACAGGAGAAAGAGAGAGAGAAACATTGACGTGTGGGGCTAACTTTGACTGGTCACCCTTCTCACACCAAACCCTTAACCCAGGCTTGTGCCCAGACTGGGACTCGAACTGCCAACCTTTTGTTTTGCGGGCTGATACCCAACCCACTGAGCCACACCAGTCTGGGTGATTTTTTTAGGTTTTTGGAAGAACCAACTTCTTCTTTTTAATTCTATTGGGTATTTGTTTTCTGTTTGATTACTTTCTGTCTTTACCTTATTTCCTTTCTTCTACTTTTTGTAATGTTTTTTCTATTCTCTTGAGTTAGATGCTTAGCTCTTTACTTTTCAGCCTTTCTCTTACATTATGGGCATTTTAAAACTAGAAATTTCCCTGCATCTCTGAAGATCAATGATGATCCTCAGCACTTAAGAGATTTCTACTGTAAGTCCCCTTGGACATCTGTGCTCTGACTTCGTTGCTTTTTAGCACTGACATGCCACGAGCTTGTTTCTGCAGCTCAGTTGTTTTTTACTTGTGCACTATGCCTGGGGGTGGGTGCCTTTGCATAATACAGATGTCCAGCTGGGGCCCAGATGCAGCAGAAAAAGTAGAAGCCACTGCCCATGGCAGGGGATGGTGGGATCCTAGCACGCACCTCAGCGTGTTTCTGGATGTTCTCCACACTACACGTGCTGTCTGGGCAGCCCCTGGCCAGCAGCTGTCCCTTCAGAGTTTTTTTTATTTCATCCTTTTAAGTTTATCAACACAAATTTTAATGTTTGTGTTGATTTTTTAGTTTCTTTCATGGCTCCCCATCTTTCATTAACTCCTATCATGCAGCTGTTTGTGTAATGCTAGAACTTCATGGTAATTTGGCTCTGGTGAGTGTAGGGTAGCTACCCAACATAGCAGCACCGAAACCCACAGACACCCCTTTATAAAGCTGTGGCTCTCACTCGCATGGAACAGTCATTATGTGTGGTGACCCGGCTCTAGAACACAGGAACGTCAGCCTCAGCTGTGTGCGCTGCCCACTTGGAGTACTGTATGGTGTCAAAGGGTGTGAAGCCTCATGAATGCTCAGAAGTATAGGTTCTCACTGAAGATACAAGACCCAGAAGGAGTGAGAGCATATGATTAATATTGAATTATCCAGTGTAGATGGTCATTGCTTCAGAGCTCACAGGTGAGGACTCAGAGTCTGTAGTGCGCCTGAAAGCTGCTTCTGCCCGCCTGCCTGACTCTCACCTCCTTCCAGCCTCTGCTTAAATCTCGCCTCTCTGTCAGGTGCTGCCGCTCTCTCCTCCCCGAGCCTTCCACATCTCACATTCTCTGCTCACTTGTTTTCCTGTAGCACTTGCTGCCTTCCAACCCAGAAATAACTTCTTATTATGTTGATTGTTTACAGTTTGTTCGTGCTACCGGACTATAGGTTTCACAAGGGTAGGGATATTTGTTGAATTACCTGAATGACTAGTTCAGCTAAGTGGTGTAAAGTCAAAACAAGCGAAAGAAAAGCCTGAGGTTCATAAGGATGCCATCAACCCACATCAAAGCATGTTTCTCACCAGGCAGGGCTTTTCCCACTGTCCCCCAAACAGCTGCATTTGATGATCAAGATGACCCCTGGGCCCCACTACCCAGGGGTAGCCAGGAGCCACCTTGATAGTGTCTGTAACAGCCTTGGCTACTGACCCCTTGACCTAGGTTTTGGTAGCGTTCCCACATGAGCAGTAAGAAGAGCAGTGCTCTGTGCAGCCGACAGCCTGGGCACATTCATGGAAGGAAATGTGAATGTTCCATGTTAAGAAATGAGAGAGATGTGTCAGCTGTATGGGACTGACATCCCCTGTGATCAGGATCTTCTCATTTTGTTCTGAATTCGTTAGCCATTGACTGATCTGTAGAGTTGGAAAATAAATACAAATCAGAGCTCAGGCAATGACAAAATGATCTACTTCTGTGTCTGTCTTCAATGCACATGTACCTGACCTCCTTTCCCTTTTCAGGGCGAAAAAGCTGATAGCTTTTACATTATAGAGTCCGGTGAAGTGAAGATCTTGATTAGAAGCAAGGTGAGTTTGTGTGTGATCATGCAAGTTATTCCAGGGAAGGTTCAGATGCCAGGTGTATGCACAGAAAGTAACTGTTTTAAGTAACGTGGAGCATGTTTAGTGTACCAAAACCCCCACTGTTAGGTGAGACAAAGACCCACGTTTAAGCCCGTCCACAGACAGGGATTTACTGTAGTTTACTTATGTTTGTCCCTATTGTCTTTGCCTCTGCTGTGTAATTAATGATGTGAGAAATATTGGCCTACAAGTCAGTAAAAAGATGAACATCCTAATAGAAAAATAGGGTAATTACATCATTAAAAGTACATATAGGTGTTGAATATGAAAACAGCTTCCTTTTTGGAGCATCGGGAGGGGAGGTCTGTAGGAGAGTTATCATCGTGGCTAATTATTACGGCCATTCCGTGGACTGAGAGATCTAGAAAACAGGTGACTGCAGGGGGCAGGAGTGATCCTTACCATAAATACATCATAACCAGAATTCTCTGCTTCAGCTTGTTTAAGAACATAGAGTTTGTTAAAATACTTATACCTAAAACTAAATTAACTTGGTAAGAAACCCTCTATAACCCAATATCTTGGTTAAAAGTTAAGAATAGGGAAAGAAAAAAACTGCTTATAAGATGGCTTGATTTCTAATTAAAAATAGACCTGTTTCACTTGAAACAGTAGTTTGAAACTTCTCTGCTTTTTCACTTACAGTGTTTGGACTATCGATACGTGTTTGTACGTTTTTTAGGTGCTCATTTCCACACAGCATAGTGTCGGGTGTGTGGGACAGCAGCACTGTGACACTGGGGGAGTGGGCGAGCTTGTCTGAAATGCAGACTCTGGGGCTCTGCCCTGGACCTACCAAACCAGAATTTGCACGGAACCAGAAAAGCCCCGGGGTTCTGGTCTTGGTGTGACAGGGTGGTAGAAGCTGTTCTAGTGAAGGGACCAGGGAGGCACAGGCATGTCTGTAGTCTCAGAGAGACTCCTCAGAGAGAGGAGAGGGCTGCGGGGACAGGAGAGCGCCTTGGCTGGACGTGGGCAGGTTGGTTTAAGAGCAAACAGGTCAGGGTGGAACTATGGACGGAGGAATAATCAAGCCACGTGAGCTAATGTGGCACTTCTGTTGATTTTTCTAAATAAGTCTTTAGTAAATTAATCTATCAGCCCATAATATAAAGTGATTCTTAGAGATTTCAAACTAATTCTTACTAATAAAACTCTAAATAACTTTTTACTTAAACAAGTTACTGCTTAGTTTAGTAGAGGGATTTGGTTAAAAAAAGGAAACTCTAGATATTAAATACAATATAGTACTTTACTCACCATTTTCAGTGATCTGATAAGCACAAGTTACACCCTACTTGATTTCCTCATACAGAGTTAAAACCACCGAATTTCAGGGGTGGACACTTAATTCTTCTTTTAGAAAATGTGTGGGGGGACCACTAACTTAAGAAGTAGACAATACCTGAAAAGAAAACTTGTCACTGTAAAGTTTTATCCGAGAAAGGGGTGGTCTCAGATCAAAGTAGCAGCCCAGGATTTTTACTCTTTACCTAAGAAAAGCATTGACATTATTTAGAAAGAATTAGCAAAAGATGTTTATTTCCCCTATGCCACAGAGGTCAGCATCTAACAAACTGAGAATACTCATATATAAGTATATGTATAAAATACATGTATTATTATATGTTGATATACAATGTGTTGATAATTATTAATTACATAATATATTCTATTATGTTATATATCAATATGTTATATATTACATAATACATTATAGTGATATTAATTGTGTGTTATTATTTATAATGCATTACTATAAAGTATATTATAATATATATAAATCTTCCAAAGAAAATGGCCTGCACCTTACCTTTTGATATTTAGTGATTACCTGAAAGGTGTGAGGACTCAGATGAAGTGTCAGTGGAAGCCAGCTCCTCTGATTAAACCATGTCAGAGATTAGCCCAAAGTAAATTTTGTAAGTAACTGCGTTAAGTGCACTAAGAAGGGAATCGAAGTGTGTGTGACTGGACGTGCCCAGTTGCGATTCTGGAGTCAGCTGGGCCGCCTTCTCACCCTACTCTAGACTAAGACAAACAAGGATGGTGCGAACCAGGAGGTCGAGATTGCCCGCTGCCATAAGGGGCAGTACTTTGGAGAGCTTGCACTGGTGACCAACAAACCCAGAGCTGCTTCAGCTTATGCTGTGGGAGATGTCAAATGCTTAGGTAAGAAAAATTCTTGCCCTGGTTGGTGTGGCTCAGTGGATTGGGCACCGGCCTGCGAACCAAGTGTCGCTGGTTCAATTTCCAGTCAGGGCCCATGCCTGGGTTGTGGGCCAGGTCCCTACTAGGGGGCATGTGAGAGGCAGCCACACATTGATGTTTCTCTCCCTCTCTTTCTCTTTTCCGTCCCCTCTCTCTAAAAAATAAATAGATAATTTTTTTTAAAGTTCTTTTGTCTGAATACCTTTTTTTTTTTTTTTCCTAACATTCAGTATTTTTTTGCTCATCAGCAAGCCTTGGCTTATTTCACCAACTCTTACAATTAGGCTTTGGGCAGTTGGTGTGAGTGATCAGAAATGTGTGAATATTTTCTTTTCACAAATATTTCTGAGCATTGACTAGTCTCTGAACAAGGTGGGCATATGGGCACCCTGGCGTTGTCAAAAGAGGAGGCAAGTGTCCAGGTTGTTTGGGGACAGAGAGATGGGTGCTGCTGGACTCAGAAATGTCTCAAACTGAGATGACACTGTCCTACTGTGTTCACATAGGGACATCCCTCATTTCCCCAGTTCCCAGTGTCCCGAAGTCTAAGGTCCTGTGATGTGAATGTGCACATTTAAGGAAAGGTTTGCACAGGGAAATGACTGAATTGGTACAGAATTCATTCTCTCCCTTATGTCTTTTTAACAATGCAGTTATGGATGTACAAGCCTTTGAGAGGCTTCTGGGGCCCTGCATGGACATCATGAAGAGGAACATCTCCCACTACCAGGACCAGCTGGTGAAGTTGTTTGGCTCCAGCATGGATCTGATGGAGCCTGGGCTGTAGGTGCACCACACCTCAGAGTCTTCTCAGTGTGACACCAGAACCTTCCGGTCAGCCACAGAACACACGCAGATACGACAGAACTGTTTCTTCCGTTGCCACCGCAGCTGCCATTGCTGTGGCCATGGGCATTTAGAAAACTTGAAAGTCAGCACTAAAAGATGGGTAGAGGTTCAACCTGCACCTCCACTTTGCTTCTGAAAGCCCATTATTAGACTACTTCTAATGATTATTCCAACCCAGTTTCACATCTTTGGTTCAAAATGGCATGTCTCTCCAACAATTTAAGTGCCTGATATTAAGTCCAAAGTGTAAACATCTTCCTTTCCTCTCTTGCTGCTACTATTGCTTTCGGAAGTCACCACAGGTCTGCACAAACCTATTGTGTAACTGTAGATGCCCTCCCCCGACCTTTCTCAAGGGAGGGAACATCATAGCCTTTGATCTCCTCATTTGTCCTTTGAGAAAGTCCACATTTGTTCACAATGGTAGCCTTCAGTTTTCTGTTGGAAAGTAGTGGCAGATACGATGAAGGTCTGTGGTCCTGTGGCATTGTCCTGTCTGCTGAAAGCAGCACACGTGACAGCTATCTCCAAATCTTCAGTGATGCTCAAGGGATGGGCCTGCTCGGGGCCCAGCAAGTCAGCACCCCAGGGCACACTGGTCGATCATGGGGACCCATGTGAGAGCAGGACATTTGGGTTCGGTGCATCGTTCAGGTAGCAGAGAGACGGAAGGTTTCCTGGGTTGGGGGTTTGGGATTTTGTTTTGTTTCAGTAGATTTTGTTTTGTTTAATCTGTGAAGTTTGCCTGAATGAATTGCTGTCCATTTATAAGGAGCCAGGGTTTGGGGGTGTCATCACTTTATCTGAGCCCAGTACTTTCGTGGATAATCCTGCCGTCCCTTGTGTCTGGTTGCCTCTACTGGCTGATGGCAGTGTGCGGGCGAGAGTTGTACTACAAAAAGAGCCTTTTTCTTCTGCTCCAGAGTTAGCACATAGCTGTGCTGTTGAACCATCAATTTTTAAACTCTTTGAAGAAGCAGCTATTTTTTGAAATTAGAAAATAATTCTCTAGGAATTCCCCTTGGACATATTCACATATATCAGTTTGTTAGTTGACTGAGGCATTTATCCTAATGATTAACTCTTGGTTGGTTTTCAAAATTTGGCATCATTTACAATTTTATAGACTTTACTACCAAGACCTTTCTAACTAAGATGTTAGGATATTTGGGGTTCCAATTGTTAATCCCATAAGAAAGTAATTTAGCTTCTATTTTTAAACTTTTTAAACCTTTCAATTATATCAGATAAAATTTTGATTATTTTAATTAACTAGCTATGTTTCAGAATGAAATTTTTTCTTCAGAGTGGCTTAAAATCAGATGTTAAAAGTGATACAAAAAGCAGTGTGAAATTTGCCTAAAGATAAATTTGAATGTTGTAGTTGTTTTTATTAAATGAAGAAAGAGGCCCTTTCCAATATGGTTTTTCAAACTTAGGGATTAGTAAATTCCTGAGATACTACGTGCCTGGGCTTGAGCCGTTCCTATGGCGGATAATGATGGGAGCCCACATGGTCGCCTTCCAGGGTCCACATAAGCTGGGCCCTCTGTTTTTGCCACAGACACTGTGGTCCAGAGATTTCCAGAGCAGCGACTCACCACAGCCCCGGTCAGTCCTCCCTTTTTCCTGCGTCCGCAAAGTAAAAGCAGAAGGACTCCTCAGGCTGGCTGCCCTCTGTGGCCTGCACTGCAGCGCTCGGGATTGGGAAAGGCTGTAACTGGTTCTCCAAAACAGGCAGCTGGCGCTGGGAAAGTCCGTGTGTTTTTTCCCATGATTATTCAAGATGGTTATTTTCTGTGGTGGTGTTTTATTATCAAATAAGTTAACAAAGATCTCGCACATTAGCTGACAACCCCCACACCACTTTCTTGCCAACGTAACAGGGACACACTGGGCTTCAGGAGTGACACAGAAGCCCAGCCCCCGACTATGTGAGGACTCTGTGTACACCGAGCAGAGGTGCCTTTTGCACCTGCGCCCCGTCACGCCGGCATCACTAGGGCTGGCTGTGGACTCCATGCCAGAGTCACTCCCGAAGGCTGCCCCCCTGCCCATCCCAGGTCAGTCTTCCCCTTCAGAGTCCTCTCTGACACCCCAACTCACTGATGGTTGGTGTCTTACAGAGTAGAATTCACCAGATGTAAGTGCTCCTGCTCTAGTTACAGGTTGATGCATGGATGATCAGCCTAGCCTCTCACTGCATACAGGGCCCCTTAGGGGTCTGGCTTGAAGGAGGGAGACTTTAAAGGGACCAGTGTGACTGAAATAGGACATAGCCATTTCCAAAGTGCCAGGAGTCTGACAGTGTTCCAAGTCTGAGTGCAGCATGGGGAGTCACAGGTGGCGGCCACGTCCGACTCGGGCGGTGGTGTTCGTGCTGTGCCAGGGAAGCCCTGCACTGATGGTAGCGCCTCACGGGGTGGAGCTTGTGTTGGAAAGCGACCTTTCGGTCATTGATTTGGATGGTGGAGAACGTTCTGAGAGCTGTGAGGTCCAAGTTCAGTATTGCCCTTCCTTCTGACCCCAGTGTATCACATTCACTCTCTTCGGGTTATATTCTCTGAAAGAAGGATTCATATGTTCTGACCTCTTAGTCAATAGTCCTTACGTATGATTGTTATAGATGCTCAGAAATGCAGGTGGAGCTTTTCTTGTAGCAGTTTAATGAGTGAACTCGGCAGCAAAGTGGCCAAGAAATGGTTCTCCGGCCAGGAGGATTCATGCTCGCCCTCTTACCGCCCAGATGCTCTGCTCACAATGGTAGCATGGTCAGCGAGTGCCGCCGGCACCCAGCAGCACCCTGGGCACGCACCATTTCCATGTCTTGTCAAGTGCGCAGACCACCCTCTCACACTTAGAAAAATCGAAAGGGCATTTTTGCACAGAGAAGAAGAAAAGAGACCCATGAATGTCATCTTTTATCTTTTGTTTTCAGTTGGCTGATGTTGGAATTTTTGTTCTTGACATGCACTTGTAAACCAATCTTGCCAAGATACAAGTCATTTTGGTTTTTTACTGTAATTACCTCTTGTCCCTCCTGTCTTGACTGCTGACGTTCCTCGATGATTCTAATGTCTATTTTATGGAAAGCGGCCTTCCCGTGGGTTTCCTTTTACACACTGCAGGGCTATCTTTATACTTAAAAAAAATTTTTTTTAAAGAATATTGTCACTAACCTCATGGGAGATTTGCAGAAAACCATTTAACCCACCTTGAGCAACAGGTAGATTTCTCATTGTTTTCTTCAGCTCGTTGTAATAAAAAATCTAATTCAGCATTATTGTGCTACCTCAAAGGTAAAAATGTTTTAAGGTCTTGTTTTGGTCCTGAGTTCTATACATAGTGTTTGAAATGTCTTTCAATTGGAGTTATTTTTAAGTCACTGGGAAGAATCTTATTTTAACCTGTTTTACACTTGTGTTTTAATCTCCGAATAAGTGATCCTTGCTCTGTAGTATTGAACGTATGATGATGTCATTGTTTGCCATAAACAAGGTTGGGTTTTTTTAAAGGAAACTCTAGGGTTTGGCTTTGCTTTTGGTTAATAAAGGCTGACAAATCATGTCCGACTTTGCGGTGCAGCCTTGTGTCACGATTACTCTTTCACAGCGGGACTTCAGGCCATCACGCCGCTCATTTGGCAGACACGGGTGTGAGTTCTTAGAAATCAGAGATGAGGCCTGAGCATGTGCATTAGTTAGGGTTCTCCAAAGGAACAGAACCAGTGCGGGGCAGGGGGGCAGGCGGGGCGGTATGTGTAAAGAAATTTATTAAAGAATTGGCTTCGGAGTGAGTTAGCACTCTGTAGACCCAGGAGAGCTAATGGTTTAATTCCAGTCCAGGTTTGAAGGCCTGAGACCCAAAAGAGCCAATAATAGTGTAGGCAGGCTCAAGGTCCAGGAAGAGCCAATGTCCCAGTTCAAGGCAAGTCAGACACGAAAATTCCCTCTTACCTGGGGGAGAGTCCGCTTCTGTCCTATTCAGGCCTTCAGCTGATGGGATGGCATTATGAGGGCAGTCTGCTGTACCTCAGTCTGTTGATTTAAATGTTAATATCAGCCTTATGGAAACTCCCAAAATAATGCTTGATCAAATATCTGGGTACCCCATGGCCTAGTTAGGTTGACACATGAAATTAACCACAGCCCTGGCTGGTGTATCTCAGTGGACTGAGTGTGGGCCTGCGAACCAAAGGATCGTGGTTCGATTCCCAGTCAGAGCACATGCCTGGGTTGCAGGCCGGTTCCCTGCGGGGGACTCACAAGAGGCAACCACACATTGATGTTTCTCTCCCTCTCTCCTTCCCTTCCCCTCTAAAGATAAATAAATAAAATCTTAAAAAAAAAACAACCAAGAAATTAACCACAGCTTTAGGTTGGGAGATGGTGTGCAAGGGCATCCAGTATATCCCTCGCCAAGAAAGATACACTCACCAGTGAAGCCCAACAGAACTCATCTGCTCTCTGACAGTATTACTTGTCATTTCCGTCTCTGTAACACGGCCACCAGAAATAGCAATGACTCTGTGATAACCCACTGTACCTACAGTTTCAAGTGACCACAGGGAGGTCCTTCTACAATAACACCAGGTTCCAGTTTGCTCTTGCCTTCACCTGGCAGTTACAAACAGTCAAGTAAGGAGTGAACATACAAAATAGGCACGTGGGGCCCAAGGAACTGGTCACTGAACCCTCAGACCCAAACCAGCCTTGTTTCAAGAATTTAAAAATTAAAAATTTTTAAAAATATTTTTTAAATATTTTATTTATTTATTTTTAGAGAGAGGGGAAGGGAAGGAGAAAGAGTGGGAGAGAAACATCAATGTGTGGTTGTTTCTCATGTGCCCCCCACTGGGGACCTGGCCTGCAACCCAGGCATGTGCCCTGACTGGGAATCGAATTTTTTAATTTTTAAAAAATATCCCACCGGCCCTGGCTGGTGTGGCTCAGTGGATTGAGTGCTGGCCTGAGAACCAAAGGGTCTCTGGTTTGATTCCCAGTCAGGACACAGGCCTGGGTTGTGGGCCAGGTCCCCAGTTGGGGGCACATGATAGGCAACCACACACTGATGTTTCTCCCCCTCTCTTTCTCCCTCCCTTCTCTCCTTTAAAAATAAATAAATAATCTTAAAAAATTAAATATGGTAAACCTTTGTAGTTTTGGTGGTGGTATTGCTATAAACAGCTAAGAAATGCCAGGACATCATCAAGACCATATTGTCCACAGTCTCTGCCCTGAAGAGTGAACGTCACGTGAGGACTTTGCTTTCTGTGTACGTTGTAACAGAAAGCTGGATATGGTAGCTTTGTCCTTTCAAAGTTACCTGAATATTTCCCCTGTATCCTCGGTGGTCTTATTGCATCAATTTCATAAGAACAGAGTTAAAAAGTATTACTTATATTGTTAAGGAAACGGAGGTCGTTTCACAAGGCGTCTTGTTAAGTATAAATTTTGCTTCCTTTACCCACCCTCCCCATCATAGATGATGGCCAGCGATACGTAGTTACCTGATTTTGAGATATGCAGATAACCAGGTGTGTCCAGCATTTTGGCATCTCTGGGCCACACGTTAAATACACAAACATTAACAAAAATAAAACAATCTCAATGTTTAAAGTAAACTTACAATTTTGTGTTGGGCCACACGTGAGTCACAGGTTGGACACCCCTGATTGTAGACTGTTAACCAGGAACATACCGAATAATCAGTTGTGAATTCACATAAGTATTATCCAAGTTCTGAATTAGAATGTCAGAAAGTGGGTCAGACTCAGCTCATTTGTTTAGTGAACAAAACTTGGTGACCTGCTGTGGACTTTCCCAACACTGTTTAAACCCGAGGCCTTAGCAGGACTAGCGGTACCGAGGTCCGCTGGGCCCGTCTGGGCCTGTCCTGGACCTGGCCTCAGGCGTTGAAGGCCGCAGCCCCGGCCTGCTACGTTAAGGACGGTCATGCTTGCAGTGGTTGTTGTTGCCCTTGGTCATGCTGCTGTTCTCCATGTGGGCTGCCACTGCCTCTTGGTAAAGTGAGTGGCTTTTATTGTTGTTATAAACGTTTATTGAAAGAGCCACGCACTCAATTATTTATACAGGGGGACTCCCCCCAAATGGAATTGTCTCCTAGAGGGCTGGCCCCTTGTAGTACAGACTGCCCCAGCTAGGAGAGTGTTCTAGGAACCCGTCTGGATCAGTGCACCAGCTGGCATTGCTGTGAGAGGCTGTGTTGGGCTTCAGTGGATTTTATTTTTAAGACTCTTTCAATGCATTTGCCCATTTCATGACGGGTCATCTACTAGCGCACCTGCCCACACTGCATTGAGTGTTCGATTTTTGACCAAAAACAGCACAACCCCTGTGCCCCACCCTCCCTGTTCTGATCTCAAAAAACAGCAGAAGCACTAGAAGGCATCAAAATTGAGGAGCTCTAAAACTTCTGAGCAGTGGAAAAAAGTCTCTATAGGTGTATTGCATCAAACGGAGAGCACTTTGGCAGTGACGGAAGTTTAAACATGTAAGAATAAATACCCTTTAATACATAAATTCCTGGGTTTTGGGGGGTTGCGTCTCATATGCAGTTTGCGATAGAGGCTGTGTGGCCTGTGAACCCTTTGTTGATGTCTGTCCTGAAGAGACTTGAAGTCCCCGTCATGAAGATTAAGTGCAACCAGCTTGAAAAAGCAGTATTTGCCTTTGTGATTGACGTGAGCACTTCACTGACAGTCATAAGTTACTCTGGCTTTGATAACATCCCCCTTTAAAAAAAGGTTTTATTTATTCTGAGGAGGAAGGGAGAGAGAAAGATAGGGGGACCCCCTCCATGAGGGGTCGTAGGCTGGCACTCGATCCACTGAGCCACACCAGCCAGGGTGATAACAAGCCTTTAAAAGCATGCAGGTTGTGTATTCTGCCATCCAATCAACCAAATCTCCGGCGGGATGAAATTTGCTGGTAATTCGAGTGTATCGTTCTTGGCAACCCCTACCCAAAACAAGGCAGCAAACTCCATGTTCCCTTTCACCTCCTCCCTCCGCGTCCTCCAACTCCATTGCTGTGGTCATGGCTGCAGTTGGCAGGACCCAGGGTATGTTTCTCCAGCCCGAATACTTTGCACGGGGCTTCTTAATAGTGAGTGTCTTGAACACACAAGTGTGCAGTGTCCCACGCTGCTCTGGCTGGCATCACACGATTCTGGTAAGAGAAGCCTCGAAGGAGCTGTGGAAGAAAGACTAGAGTTCAGATTTGAAGGAAGCTCCCCCTCCAGGTAAGGGCTCCTCAGAAAGTGTCATCTTCACATGAGCCATTCGAAACATCATGATGAAGTTTGGCCACAGATGCCTTCCTGGACTAGGTTGCCTTCTTTGATGACATATGCGAAGAATAAAAATTTTCTTCAAGTGTCTTTTTTTTTCAGGTGGCATTTCGACTCCTTCCTCTCTGACTTCTTTCCAACCTTCATTGATCCTGTGGGCAGTTCTTTCTGTTTTATAAAACCAGTTCTAAAAGACCATCTGGATTGTCTGTAAGTACACAGAGTGAGGCCGGGCCCAGCCCGTTCGTGGACTTCGGAGCTACAGGGGCTGTAAAGGAGGTTGGCCAGCTAAAGAGTGAAACCGAAGGGGGCTGGGACTCTAAGAAAGCCAGCAGGAGTTGACAGTTCCTCATCAGTCAGTCCATTCTGACAGGTTACAAGAATGAGCCCTGGTCAGGTGGCTCGGTTGGAGCATCATCCCATACACCAAAAAGTTGCAGGTTCGATCCCTGGTCAGGGCACATATCTAGGCTGTGAGTTCAATCCCCAGTCAGGGTGCATACAGGAGGCTACCAATGGATGTTTCTCTGTCTCTCCCTTCCTCTCTGTCTAAAATCAATATCCAGTCCAAGGGTGAAGATGTAAATAAATAAATAAATAAAAGAATGGGCATTTGAAACAGTAGCAGCTAAAATGCCCATGGCCTTCTTGGCCATGGCCCACCCCTTCTCTGCAGAACTGCACTGAGCCAAGAGTCAAAAGTCACTGTGTATCCTGCTGGAAGCCAAGATCCAGCAGTCTCCTTTCTGGCCAGATCCTCCAATGCCCAGAATGAGGAAGCAGGGGTGTGCAATTGGGTTTTTTTCCCTAGTAAATAGGTAAAAAGGGAAAAGCTGAAGTCCAGACCCACCAGATAAGCAAACCAGCACTTCCCAGCATAACATCCGAGTGTGGTTAAACTAGACATTTTCATTCCGAAAACGAAAGACCCGAGCGCAAAGGAACATGTACAGCACACACCACCAAGCCTTGTCGTTACCCCAGTCTGGGAAGAGGGAGGAGCAGGGTACCCGAAGCTGGGTTTTGGGCCTGCAGGGCAGGAGGGAAGAGGCCTTTGGGGCAGATGTGCATCGGTCCCTGGCAAGTCAAAGTAGCTCAGGAGCTACACTGACCCTGGGGTCCTTTCCTAGAGCTGTGCAGCTGGCATCATGCCCAGGGCAAGGAACGAGGCTTGGATGTGCCTGGGAACCAGCCTGGACCCCAGACGAGGGGCCGTCCCCCAAGCAGCTCTGGAAGCCAGGGTGTCGCCCCAGCCTGGATG